GTGTAAAGCATTGGAATGAAATTTTTATAAAAAATAATTGGTTTGGCCTTTTCTTATTTGAGAAGTAATGTTAAATTTGCAGTATTTTTAATTTGTGGAATAGACTTTTCATAAATAGTTAAGAAATAATTATTGGAAGAAAGTGAGGATAAGATAAGGATGTAAGTAGAAATTTTATCCATTAAGTTGATTTTTTGAGAATTTTATAGATTGTTGTACGTGCTGTTACATCTTTTTCATAGATACTTAATGTATTATAATGTTTTAGATAAAAAGTTTGACTTGAAAATGGGCAAAGTTGGCCAGAAACGTTTTAATAAATAAAATTAATTAATGCATTGAGAGGAGGTGAAAGGATTTAATAACAGATTTCTTTGAAATTATTAATTTTATTAATTAATTAAAAATATGCTTAGAAAATTTGAAGATTTAATTAAAAACTATGTAATATAATAATTTCCTAATAGTATAAAAGTCGAATCTATTAAAACCAATAATAATTTATTTCAAGTAATATTTAAAATCACTTAATTATGTATGCAGGTAAGATAAATGTAATGAAATTTGATATTATAAATGATTATGTCATACATTATTAGTGCATGACTCATATATAATGTAACATACTGCTAGTATGAGATTTTATGGGCATATGGTCAGGATGGAAAAAATAGATTAAATAAGAAAATTTTTGATAAATGGCTAGGACTCAAGAATACAAAGGATTATCCAGAACAATTTAAGAATGAAATAGCCAAACTGAATATAAAAAGCAAGGTTTTTATAGTAGAGTCGAATTCCAGAAACGTGTTGACAGAATGAGGGTCATTGTAGCAGGAAGGAGTGTGGGAAAGAAGGCCCAGTACTCTGGGAGGATGTGGGAAATGTGGAGGAGGAAATTAGTGACAAAAAAAAAAAAAAAATACATTATTAGTAAAACAAGAAAAGAAACATACACACACACACACATATATATATATATATATATATATATATATATATATATATATATTATATATATATATATATAATATATATATATATATATATATATATATATATATATGAAGTAAGCTACTACATATATTAAGTATCTTAATATATGTGCTGGTGGACGGTGCTGAGACTGTTGGTGTGTCCCTGGCCTCAGGTATCGAAGCTTTATTTTAAAACTTTGAAGAGGATCCGATCCCATTGTTAACTTTTAAAAAACCAGGATCAAAACATCGAATAAACACAGAAGCAATGAACATTTAGTAGTTTATTGAATAATTAATAAGTGACCTTATTCACAATTAAATAATTATGTATGTGTGATATTAAATTATTGTTTTACTAATAATGTATGACAATCATTAATTGTTATTTATAATAAACAAGAAGAATGGACATTATCTAACGTGATGTTTTATTTAATAATGAAGAAAATTAATTGGTCTGTTATTTATAAAACATTTTTCTGGAATAAAGTAATGTCCCGAAAAAATAGATGGGATAGGAGAATATGATAAATAGTAGAAACAAGTGAAATATAATTACTGTTTAATACAGTTACCAACCATCCATTTCCCTAGGTTTCATTAACTGTCAATAATACCTACATAAAACATATTTTTTTTATTTAAAATAATGTAGCCTGGACTGTCTTGGATATCATGAAATTCTGGATAAGAGATGATTTAAACGTAGTTTAAAAACCTGTTCAATATATATATATGTCACAAATTATTACTTTTATTTTGAAAGTTCTTAATTGAATACACAAGTTAATTATCTACTTCTACCCTAGGTCATTCATCCATTGTTGTGAGGAAGGCATTTTTAAAATTTATATTTATTTAAAGAGAAATCGTATCATCTTTCACTTTAAATACATAAGTATAAATTAAAAAAAAAAAATTATTAAAATAACAAACTGAGATTGCAGGTAGTTAATGTTTGAAGAGAAATTCCAAGCTCAAAATCTCGATTTTTTATAAGAATAATAGCTCATGCATATTTTACACGACCGTTCATTATTTCAGCAGTTACCACTTTTGTTTTCCTTTTTTTTCCAGCAATTTGCTGATGCGAGTTTATTAATTTTGCAAAATGTAACAACTTTTTATATTTGTTGAAGAGAATATTTCCTTTAGCTGGCCAAGTGTTCTGAGTGATCTGCATTAAAACATATGTGCTCTATTATGTTCCTGCATATAGCAGTCGAATAGGACGTATCTGAATGTTTCAAATATCAGTAGATCAATCTAAGCATAGCCTACATAAGTATTAAGTCTTTTTTAAGTTCTAAACTTGTACCAATCAGGAAAGAGAGTTGAACTGTTATCCTCGGGTTTGACTGGGGTAACCTAAAAAATCAATTATAATCGAGACTGGTCCTAAATATTTGAACAAAGGCTAAAACTGAATTAGCAGGAGGAAAAACATTTTTTTTTTTATTTATTTCATACCGTAAATGAAGAAATGAAAACAGTTTTTCATCTTACCCATAGTTAACTCAGAATATCTTCTTTTAAAATTTCAAAACAACTTTGCTAATAAGAGAAATTTAATCTTTTTTTACATTCATGATGTTTTTAATCCACAGCCCTAAAAATTATTAACATATTACTAAGTAATCAGAAGGGTTTTAATATTAGAGGAGTATCTAGTGGAACACAGTTTTAAAAGGATTAGGTACAATGCTAACTAAAATTCTCCCACCACATAATTGGGTGCTTCAAGGTGAAAATAAAATATGACATACTAAAAAAATTGTTTATTTGAGTTTGAAAATATCCTCTTTAAATAGTAACCTTTATTAACTAGAGTAATTTATTTTATGTTAAAAGACAATAGATTATAATACTAAATGCCCCATGTGAATATTTACTAACAAAACATGGAGGAAAAATAAAAAGTATAGGTCTTTTTTAATTAACTATATTGCATAATAAAAAATTTACAGGATATAAACACATTCTTTAATTTTATCTCTTAGAAACACATACTATATACAATTATATATGTACATTACGAATTTCTTGTCCGGCAACTAATATAAATAAATAATTAAATAACTTTTTAACTTAAAAATATATATCTTTTCACAGTTATGAATAAAACAATCAACCTTTAATTCATCATTAGACCAAGTTAAATGGCTAAAATACAATAACTTAAAAACAGTCAACAATTATTACATATTTACACAGTGGCTAATATACGCTTCACCTATTACGAACATTTAAACAATTTGGTCTGTTGCTCACCACAATATTAAATGACGAATTAAACTATAAAATGACTCACGATAACAAGAGGTAACTTCACAATATAAAAAATAATAATAAACTAAATCAATTTGCATACAACATGAAATAAAAATTAAAATTATCCTCTATCAGTCATATTTATTAACTATTAAATAAGAATGCTCAATTTTCCCCCATGAACCGTTCCTGAAAAACAGCTGATCGGTGGGATGCTTCTAGGATAGGACTTAGCACCTTCGAAATCTGTTGAATCCTGTTTTCAAATCGTACCCTGTCCCTTGCATATGTTTCCCATGGACCGATACGAGCTGCACGATGAGCATAATTCCATGTAACAATAGTATGAATTTCAACAAGGTTTTCATCAGGCTTGAAAGAAACCTAAATAAAACAATTATAATTAGTCGAGTATATAACAAATAATAAATCCTATGTCATAGTTAATAAATCCTAAGGATGGCTAACTTCTAAAACTCTGTTGATATCATGAATTAACATATTCAGCAGAAATGTTACCTATATTAATTTATTGCAAAAATTCACTAAGTATATTTTTGATGGAGCTTAAATTTCTTAGTTGTTTTTTGACCTTATCAATCGATGCAAAAACAGTGGATCAAAATGATAAACCTGTACTACTACAACCCATGAAGCATCTTTGGTCCAATACCTTTTAGGGAAAGCACTGTTTCTTGGTCAACAGTTGTGTAAGCAGGTGATTTGACCAAGATCAAGCTCAACCGGTTTTCCCCATAATTAATTATTTAATTAAGGGTACCTACTTTATCGAATTTGGGTATACTCCAGAGGCCAATGCAACTGAATAAATAATTTTTCTGCCATGAGCCGGGGTTCGAACCTGGCACATTGAATATTGGAAGCTATACCCCTAAAATAATGAAAACCCTTTTATATATCAATAACAGTTATGCTAATTGTATAAAGTTCTGATTTCACTTAAGGAAAATCATGAAAGTAATTTGCGATTTAATTTATATAAATACAGTATATGAAAATTTAAATCTGGGTCAGTGAACAATAAAGCACGCCCAGAGAGAAAACCCTTGTTGACAGTGTGAGAATTTCTTGAAATTGTTTCGGTTTCGGAATTTTTCCTACTTTAAGTACAATTTCACGAGATTCTCACACTGTCAACAAGGGTTTTCTCTCTGAGTGGGCTTTATTGTTCACTGATCCAGATTTAAAATTTTATATAATGTATTTCACTGTTGTATGAGGTAGTCTTTTTTACAATACACCGCAGACTTAAACCCTGTTGAAAATGTTTTACAATGTCATCTGTAAGATTCTTTGAACCTGCGACTCATTGCCGAAGAAATATTTTTTAGTACTGAACTAAACAAGCAATTTCTCGTGCAGTTTTATCCTTTAATCTTCTGCAGTAACGAATTAAAAATACAATGTTGACACACTGTTTTAATAACATAAATTATCTATCATAAATATTTCCACTAGAGTATGAATACTTTTTTTATGAACAAATTTTTGAAATATTAATGTTATAAAAGTTTTATAAGATTTTAAATTTTGGCATTACATGAAATAAACACAAAACGAACTTTGTAATTTATATCTGCCGTTGGAGAAATTATAGTGAACTATTTGGCCAAAAAACGGGGTTAATATTTTTATATCGTCGGTTCATTCCAAAAAGTCACTAAGTACTTTTTAGATGGAGCTAAACTTTCAGAAATGTTTCTGTGAATTTTAACATTGATTATGGAGGAAAAAGATACAGTAAGTGCACTAAAATTACATTAACTCAAATTACTATTGTATCAAAAAAATGTTCCTCATGGTGGTTAGATATGGTATATCAAATATAGTTACAACAAATGCAGAATTTTCTGATCAGTTTTGAGTTATATTGTTTTATTTAGACATTGTTTGAGTATGTGTAAATGCAGTTTATAATCTGTATACACCTATGAGTAACATTTTGAATAAGAATTTTAAATAATGTATTCATTAACTTGGGTAGTCCACATTAACAATAGAAACAGCTATAATGTACATACCTTTTTAGTCTTACACACAGGGCTAAGAGGCGAACCTGAACAGGTAAATAACGTTTGATTATCAACCTGTAAAATAATAACAAATATATATACATATGCAAAGTGAAAATTCACCACTGTATTGATAAATAAAATGCATGAAGTTAAATGAAAACCAACCTCATCTAAGTCATCAGAAAGACACTCTTCATCTGAAACTGAGTCACAAATAGCATCTTCATCATTTTGAAATACAACAAAACTGTCTTCACTATCAATAGAACACTCAGATACTGTTCTATTATTTCTAAAATTTTGCAAGCATCTTACAGGAAATGTCATGGGGTTATTTTGTGCACTAATACATGGACTTAAATCTTCAACTGTTGAAATAGAATCAACACTTATTTGAGGCGAAAGTGCAGAATTATCTGATGAAGTACTATCACGACTGTTCTCAGAAATATGTCCATTAGCCACCGGCAATGCCGAATATTTATTTTCAGATACTGTTGACATATTAATATGTTCAGAGCCTTTATTTATATCTAATAAGCTGGAGTTTCCTATGAGACAATTGTTGGTCGCATACATTGTTACCATGCTATTAGAACATAAGTTTAGTTCATACTCAATATTAGCAAAATTTAAAGGAAGTATACCACTTTCTATTGACACGTAGGGTTTTGGGAATATTCCTTTAGTAACATCAGCATATGACCTTTTGGGATTCATGGGTACCTGAGAAATGGTTGAAGAAGAGGTTTTAAATCCTGAAGGAGAATTGTTATTGTGAAGCGTGTCTGGAAAAGGTTCCTTGGTGGTTTCTTTCATGCTGTGATCATCTCTATTATGAAAACTATTGACTATAGCATCCAACAGATTACAAATATTATGAGATGAATTCGAACTAGCTTGACTATTTGTGCCCACAAAACCACCAACAATATATGATACGGCTACTGACGAAGATCCTGCAAAAGAAGTCATGGGTGGAAGAATTTTCGAAGCCTTCCCCAATAAACTTGTCTTCTGTAGTGTATCTTGACTAGTGTTGAAATCACTAAACATATCTAACATCGGTTTCACAGCCTCTTTATTTGTTGTACTTGAACATCCATCAATATTGCCTTTAGTAGAAAAGTGTCTATCAAAATTTGGAGTGCTAAAAACTGGTGACATTCTAAATTTTCTTTGGGCTCCTTGTCTCAAATTAAATTGATAATCCATTATTTATTTACTTCGAGACAATGTTTTTTAAAAGTTGCAATAAAAAATTAATTCATTTATGTAGTCATTTTAGAGATACATTGTAATTTCTCAGAAACAACACATACTGACAACAAACTTCATTAAATAATTGTCCATCAAATACTTCAGCCAAGAACAGGTTTTGAAGGAGTCTCTGCCTTTTTCAAAATATTTTAAAAGATGTAAATCAATGATAAATTTTCGATGAAATAACTGACCTTTGTGGGTAACAATGTTTCTTTCTGGATTCTTACCAATAATTCTGTTATGATATCTTCTCAAAAACACTGCAGAGGTCTTCACTAATGTTGAATCAAAAATATTGGTTTCAAATAAAACAGATTCTTCTCTTAAGCAAGACATTTTTAAAAACATTTTACACAACTGTTCAATCGTACTAGTTATTCAGCCATTTTTCTAGAACATGAAACACTCACTTCTGACGTCATGGAAACCTTATTAATATTTTATTTTTAAATTTGAACATAATTATCATAAAGATAAGTTTGAAGCAAATGATTTAATTTTTAAACTACACTTGTATGAATTAAGTTGGAATCACTATTGTTTTATTATATTTAATTTAAAATCAAATCATATTTAGGCAGCAGTGGTATTTTTATCAGTATTCACCCATTTGACATCGTTCAGATTTTTAATAACTTCTGTAGTGATTAAAACACCTAATACTTCTAAATAATACCCAAAAATACTCCGGATATTCTATTTCATTCCTTGTTCCTTTGTGTTTTTATTTAATAACTTTAATTATGAAAATTTTTTTATGGCTAATCATTTCTACTAATCTTTTCTACATGTTTGTGATTTCCAATTTTTGTTTGTTAGTTTGATATACAAGTTTTGTTGTGTCACATGAAAATTATTAACTGTTATCTTTTTTGTTAAAAGTGAAATCGTGTTAAATTGTTCCTAAATATATATATATTTAGGAACTTTATCAATTTTATTGATATAAATGTTTTACTAATTTGACTTCAAAATATAAATAAAATCAGTATTAAATATTGCACATCATTGTTTATGTAATTTTTAAATTGAACTTACAATTGATGAAATGCTGCTTTATTCTTTAAATCGGTCAAGGGCAATTTTTAGAAATGCTGCAATATCTGTGTTCAGTGGTGTAAATATTCAACATATTTGATATTTTAGCTTTGGCTAATTATTTGATTTCGTCAAGGCATCAAGATATGGAAATGATAATTTAAAAAAAAATTAAAGTCATGTAGAAATGGTTGATTTTAGGGTACATATCACATACATATGATCAGAACACAAAAATTGACTCAATAAATATAGAATTTAGAAGAATACCTCCTAATGATTTAAAATGATGATTTTTTATTCTAACGATACATTTCTAATTTATATTTATTAATTAATTTAGGCTTTCTGCCCTTTAAAAACTTTACCTTTTATAATTGGACCTTTTATTTAATAGTAAGATTCCTGAGTCAAAACCATGCAGTATACATGTCAGGAAAGATTGATTTAAGGAACCAATCATAATTTCTAGGGATGACCCTTTATTCATGAAGAGAAGTTTTTTTTAATTTATATATTTAAAGAAGAAATTTGATTCCTAATAGGTCTATGATCTGTTTAAATTTAGATCATAACCTCTTCCAATGTTTTCTAACACTGTTATTTTTTTACATTGCAATGCAAATTAATGAATATTACTTTGATTTATGGTAGAAAAAACAAAAATGATGGATTCAGTTTCCCTTTTACCAGTTGAAGTTGCCCAAAAAATATTTAAATTTCTGAGTATCAAAGATCTTTACCAATGCATGAGTGTCTGTAAAAGTTGGAGAAATTTAATTAATTGTAATTATGTATGGGGTCATTTCTACAAAATTTATGATATAGAACAATTATTTGAAGAAATAGATGATGATAGTGATGAAACAAGTAAGTCCAAGAACATTTTCTGCTCTATCTTAGAATTATATTTTTCATTTTTAGTTGATTTTGAAATTATTGTTGTGTTTTGTTGATTATCATTGTTTTCATTAGAGACCCTGAGTCCGTTGTGTTCCTACGCTATAGAATTGAAGAGATTTTTATTAAGTCCAGCTTTCAATTGGAGGTCCAGAAGATCAAATAGTTATTATATTAATTTGAAGTATCGGCAATGGAAAGTTATTTGTTGTGAGCCCTATATAGCTATGTTATATTCATCTGTCAATGAACTACATATCTTTTGTTGTGTGGCTGATTCAGTTGAATGTATAGATGTTGTGTCTATAAATTTACCTGTGAACAGCATAGAACAACAAATTTTTATTAATAAAAAGTATATTGTTATTGGTGCTTTCAATATTACGTTAGTTTATAAGTTGATAGACAAAAGTTTTAAATTATATAAAGCTTTTGCATCAAAATGTGATTCATGTATTATTTCCTCTGATCATGCATTTAATGATTTTATTCAAGAAAATATTTTGTCTGATTATGTAGTATTTGAAAAAGTTTTGATTGGTGACATGTTATGGATAACAGCAGTAAATGGAATGAAACATATTATAAATCTTAGTACTGGAAAACAGGATATGAAGCAAAATCTTTTCTTGTATACTAAAGCAATGCAAAATTCGCAATATGTTCTTAATTATGAAGATGTCAATGTAATATTGACTGATATTAATGGATTGATCATTTCTTCTTTTAGAGTTTCTCATAGTGATAAAATATTTTACATGAACAAATCTATATTAGTTATTTGTTTTCCAAGGACGATTGAAGATGACCAGTACACTATCGAATGTAGAGAAATAATGACTGGGTTATTGATTAGAACACTGTCAGTTAATGAAAGAACTAGAGTTACATTACATCCGAAAAAATCAGTTTTGTACTTATTATCAACTCAGAGTGATTTATATAAAGTTAGTTCATTTTGTATTGACACTGGGGTTATTATTTGGAACTATGAAATAAGTTGTGGGCCTCATATGTTTTGGGGTGCTTTTCTCACTGTAGTCAATGAAAGATTTCTTTTTGTTTATCCTGCTCCTTATTGTGATGATTTGTCTGCTCTGTTTAACTTACAAGGTAAATTACTTTATGAAGAAGTTTATTTCACAAGCGGTATTCTAATTCATTTCTCAGATGCAGTTATTTTGGCTAAAGAAGAAGGTCGTTTACATGTATGTATATTTAATGAACCTTTTCATTATTGATGGTTTAAGAAAAATGTAATATATATTTTGTATTCACTAGTGCCTTAATTAATTATTTTTATAAAACAGGTCAGGAATTAAAATTATTTATAAATTATGATATTTATTTAATTTATTGTGAAAGGAGTCTGTTACTTATGTATAAGTTACTTAAGTTTTGTTTATACTTTTTTTGTTCCAATAATAAAATATTTTCTATAAATTTTGTTTTATGTTTGTGTATAATTTTTTTTTTTTTTTCTAAATTGAGAGAACTTTTACTGATTTCACTATTAAAAAGGAATTAATCCCATAAACCCAAATGTGTAGTATATGTACATACAGGTATTTTTATTAAAGTAAAAATTAATTATTTTGTCTGCATTGATAGTATTTAATAGAAATGGCCATCGTAGACTTGGCATGTTTTTTAAAATATTTAATGCTCAAATATTTTTGTGCAGTATCATCCCGATCATTTTATTTATTTAATATTTCCTAAGTTTGAATTGTCATTCATGAACAGGTCATTTTGGATTTGTGGGAGAAGCTGATGAGTTTCTTTTGTGTCATCCATTTACAGGTCCTAAGCTTATTTATTAAATATGATTCTTTTTGTAAAAATCATGAAAAAGACAAAATAAACTGCGTACATAGGGATAAATATATTTAACATATTAATATTTTTTATTGATATATCCTAAAAATTTAGAGAAATAATCTGCATTCCTAAGATTTAAGGCAGGTTATTTATTAGACAGGAAATAAAAGAAAAAAAAATCTTGAACAGCTTCAGCTTCTTGTGTTTTGGAGTAGCACCTACATGAGGATTTCTGAATGTTATTTTTTAGGATAGATATTTCTCAAAAAGACTTAAATTTTTAAAATGGTAGTATATGTTTTGATATTGATTCTTTTAAAATGTCTACAGATAATAAAAGTTTATTACTCAAACTTTGCTCTTTCTTCTGGATAGTTCACTGCAAAAGATCGATTTTTGATAATGGTGATAAATTCTAAAATTTGTTCCTTTTTTCTCAAGCTTTTAAGAGAATTTTATATTCATATAATTTATTAAATCCTAATAACAAATTAAATTTTGATTATTTTATGATGTATTGTTGAATTTTTATTTCTTAACATAGTCTTGAGAGTAATTTTTGAAAATTATTCCTATTGGTTCTTTTTGGAGTTGGAAAACCAGGATAAAAGATAAAAATGTCCCATTGATTGTCCCAATAAAGGGAGCTCAAACTTAATAATTCAACTATCAATTTGTTTTTATAATATTAGGATGAAATTTTCGGCTTATTATCGTATATTTTGTTTTGTCTTTATTTACTTGTAGGCCAATCTGCTCTGCCTCTCTTATTAGTTTTGTAACGAGTTTCTCAATGTCTTCTGGATTACTTCCAAAGAAAGCTATATCATTTGCGTATCCTAGGATTTTATGATTCATTTCCATTTTCCTGGATGTTGCTCTTGTTACCTTCTGCAGGGCTAAGTAGAACAACATCGGTGATAGTCCATCTCCTTGCCATAATTCAAATACCTAAAAAAAATTCAAATACATCAGCTCCGCAATAACCTCAATGAATGACCAACTGGCAGAAATAGACCAGCGTATAACTAGGGCAAACAAAGCTTTCTTCTCGCTTTCAAAGGGATCCCGAAAAATCTCAATCAAGAAGACTCGCTACAAAAGTGATTAAAGAGGCAGAGTAGATAGGCCTTACAAGTAAATAAAGACAAAACAAAATATATGATAATAAGCCGAAAATTCCATCCCAATAACAGGATTTGCGTTGAAGGAAAATCATTCCCGAGAGTAGAAAAAGTCAGATTTTTTATATTTATGGCTCAATATTTATCTTTTTTACCTTCTTTCACTATTTGGTTGCAGATTGTTATACTTTTGATAGTATTTTTTCGTACGTAATATTAAATTTTATATTTTGATGATGTACGTTGAATATAAGTCCGGACCTTATCTGTAACTCTTACAGGACATATTAAAGCTTTCCAGCATTAATAGGTCTTATGCAGGTTTGTTAAGGTGGCAAAAGATCGACATGGTCTGTAATACCAACAGAATATATGTATATATATATATAAATATTTCACAATGAATAATTTCATAATTTAAGTTTTCATATTTACGATTTTTATATTATTTAATATTGTTTTAAGTTCTGATTGCCACTTTCCTAATGGCACCCCAAGAGGTATTTAATTTTATTTTTTCTAAATTAAATGAGAATTGTAATGAAAAAAAAAATTTTTCATGTGAAGACGTAATTGTTTTTGTAACAAAATTAAATATTTTTAAAACTTTATATATATATATTTTTATGGGGATACCTCAAGCATTACTTCTCCCTAGACCTAAAATGGTCTGAAAACCCTTCAGACTGAGACTCAATAATTAAGTTTTAAGAAAAAGAAGTAAAGTCTTGAAATGTTGGCTGAGTATTATTTATCCATGTATATTAATACATCTACTCATAGAGGGTTATTAGCATTTTACATAAAATTTGTTTTTTACAAGTGTTTACTTTTATATTACTTTATTTGAAATGAAACAGGATTTTAATATTTGAAGAACAATCGGAAATGCTTAAAATATAATTAACACCTTGACAAATATTCATTTACATACAAATTATTTATTTTAAAAAAATAATTTGTAGTGTAATTTTGTTAATTAAACAATTATCTAGTCCTTAAACTAGTCTCTCGTCATTTGACATTTCTGGACTGCAGCTCTCATGAAGATTTGTAAAGTGGATCGAAACGTGGTATTTTAATCTTGTACCATTGTTCTTATTCGAAATTCTCTTCATTTACTTTCTCGGTTTTTGGTTTACCTTTATTTTTTGGATTTTTTTTCTCCAAAACTAACTCTCTTAGTTTCAAAAATAATACATGATGCTTAAATGAAGTTTCCTTTTCTTCATAATTTATTTTCCTGAAATTTCTGGGTAATATGCCTATTTTCTCCACCCGGAGGAGAAGATAATCATCAAAACGATGTGGATGGGGGTGAAAAATAGAACCCAATAGAAAAAAAAAAAAACACTTTATTCAGGGACAACGTCTAGAATAATAAACAGCTACAGAATAATCAAGGTTGTCAAATAGAGGAAATAAGAAACTCCTGAGCCATCTCAAAATATGCAATTTTACCGCTACAAATTGTACTTCTTAATTGGTTTTATATTTTTTTAAAGACCTAGCATACGTTATAACAAATGTATACATCACTGCACGGGCTGATCTTACGGGGAGAGGAGGGGAAGAGGTGACTTTGGCGCTGAAGACCCTCTCAAAATGGTAAAATATAACCAGGTTTTATTGAAAAAAAGTATCTCTTAAAGTGTAATTACATTTAAAAGGACTTTAGGAATCACTTAAATACCATTTCATATAGGTAGTTAGTTTCTTTCTTTTTTTCCAAAGTAATTATCGTTATTTTTATGAAAAAAAAGGTTTCGGGCTGAAGCCCCCGCCTTAAAATTCAATCCTGGATCCGCTAGTGCATCGCTATGTTTTGCACTTAAGTCTTTGGTTCAGGAATGAGTTTAGTTTCTCTGAATGTGATAAACTGAAAGTTACTTCCTTGTTGACAATTGAGCTCTATCGTTTGGTTATCCATAATTTAGCACGGTGAGTTCTATCTAGAGGATAGGATAAGGAATCAATGCTTGATAATAAAACTTCTAAAGGATATGGTATTTTTGTAATGAAGTGGAGACAGCGTTTTTTCATTATTTTATTTTTTTAATGAAAAATAAAAAAAAAGAAAAAAACATCTATACATTCTAAAGTATAAATTTTTAAATTAACTTAAAAAAACGTATAATTTTAGGATGGTATGAGATTGATTTTATGAATGTGCTCGTGTCAAGCTTTTTATCACAGGTTGATTTATGCCTTTGCCTTCTCCTCCTTGGGTGGTGGTACTGTTGGGATCTCTGGGTACTCTAGCTTTGCACCTGGTTCGCAGTCAAAGACCGGGCAACAGTCTGGGAATGGAGCTGTCTTGTTGGTCTTGGTCTCGCTGAGCTTGCACTTTGGGTTGGTCTTGGGAAGAGGGCCGCAGTCCTCGACCAGTTCCAGGAGCCTTCCGTCCTCTTCGGCCTTGACGCAGGTGGATCTGCCGCAGAACGGGGTCAGCTCCCAGCTGTGCCCTGGCTCGATGGTAGCGCACCTTGTGGAAGCGAAGCAAGCGCCGGGGAAATCTGCAATAAAACAGCTGGTTAAGTAATTGAGAATATAAAATGCTTAAATACGGTATTAAAGATCCCTTTTCCGGCTCTCAGGAGCGAAGGATTTTGATGAGTTACCCATACGAAAGATGATTTTATGAAGAAGTGACGAATTCTAATTTTTTCAACAAATTTAATAACATTCATTGAAAACATTAGGAGGTTTTAAAACTCAAATGTGCTTAAAGTCAACGATTCGAGAATCAATTGGATTTCAAGACATGGTGTAGTCCCAAAGGAGCTATGAGGCTCTGCCTATTTTCCAGATAAATAGTAATTTTTGTCGAATACTTTTTAGCCTGTCGTAGGATACTTAACTTGTTTATAAGTTATAAAAATTAAAATAATACTTTTTATGTTAGTCTACAACGAATTAAAAATATATTGAAATTGTAAAAGGAGGAAAATAACTCAATGATTCTTTGGACATTTCGGGCTATATAGAAAACAAAGTTCTATATTCAATAAATAAAAAAAATAATATCCAACCAGATATAGCTTCTTTATTCTCAGTAATAGACTTCTAAACCCTTAGTGAGAGAACTGCAAACCAAGGCTCTAATAATTAAAAAAATATAAGGCTTGAGCTCGTACAATAATGGATTATTTTAAGTTCAGGAAAAGCTCTGTCTTATTGTCTAACTATTAAACTGGAGAGATATTTTTCCATGGGAATCACTAATCACTCATTAAGAAAATTTTGATCATGTTATATGTTATATATACGAATAAATATGTTTCGCTTCGATTGCATTGTAATGTGAATAGTTCTCACTGGGGTATATAGTAAGCTTAAATTCTTTAGTGAATTGTTTCAAAAGTACCATTGTTTATATTTATTCTATAGCTTACGATTGCTCGGACTGATTTGTATCCTAACACGCCATTGGTTGCGGTATGTGGGTGTGTCCCGGCTGGAAGACCGAACAGTTACGCAACCGTATGACGGGAAAGATCACTTGCAGGGCGAGTTTGTGGGTCAGCGGTAGAAAGTCACGGAAAATTACGAGGTGTGGCTCCTGACAACCTTCCCAGGACTCACTTTTACTTTTAAAGCAATCGTGTTAGTATTTCTTTGGAAATCGATATTTATGTACATTTTTCTATAAGGAATGTTCGACTAGTATACTAAAATTTTGTAACAAAATAAGCGATCAATAACATTTCCAATTATCAGTTAATTCAAGCAATTAATCATTGATCAGAAAGGGAGGAAGAACCAATACAGATCATGTTTGTATATCAATCATAACCAATAATAACCATAAAAGATCGATTCATAACAAAACTTCGACTATAAATTATATGTATTGAATAAATTTTATGAACACTACCACTTATTGTAGATTTAGGTATTAATTTGGAACACTTTCGTAGGTTGACTGTATTATTACTGTGTAAATAGATTATTAAAGGATTCATAGACACATTGATAGATCGATTTCCGTAGAATGTTCTTATTAAGAGTTGCTTAAAATAAATGAAGAGGTTATACAACAAGGTTGCATATTTAAGTGAAGGTATGATTTTTTTATTAATGTTCTTATAGATCAGGATGAGGAAAAATAAATCATTGTTACCATCTGATTTTATTTCAGATCCTTAGTTACGACGATCTTTCAGTCATATTATAGTTGCATGGCCATTTTAGAATACTACAAGCTATTGTCAGCATATTTTTAGAATTCTCCACTTCTTATACATTTAAAAATATTGTCACTTTTGACATAAGGCACTCCCTTATTTGAATGGGGGAAAATGGAAAGTGTGGTGAAAAGGTGGGCCAAGGACACGGAAACTAGGTATCCTTCGGAAAAGCCAGCTAGTTGCGAAATGAAGTTTTTCACTAATTGATTTCCATCGGTAATTAGTATTTGATAATTGGGATTTAGGATACTTTTTCTTTCTTGGAGGATGAGTATGATGATGGGCTTCTTTGAAGAGGGGACTGTAGTTTAAGAAACCTTTTGGGTCTACTCATTTCAAACGAGTATGTGTACCTGACATCCGTCAAGTAGATTAATCAAGCGGTTGGAGCTCAGTAAATACCGCACTTGATTCTCAGAAAAAGTTGAAGGTAGATATTTCTTCTATCTAGAACCTTCATGAGATCTGTTTTTTATTTCATGAGATATAATTTGGGTAGGACCAAAAGTAGACAGGCAAACGAGGTACTTTCCCCTAGAGGCAGAATTTATGGAAAACGTTCAGAGAAAATTTATTTTTAGTTGAAGTAAAAATATTTGTTTCTTCTTTTCAATTGTTTTGACCTATAATAAATAAATCAAATAAGATAAGATTATGATTTATAGGCGTACCCAGAAGGAATTTTCACGTCGAGAGTTGATGAAGATCTTTGAGGGAAGCACACTTTTATGGGGCTTTGAATTGGAACAGACACAGACAGCAAGTTTAATTGTATTTAAGCAAAAATTTTTCCAATTCTATCTTCGCTAGCGCTGTTTTTAAAAAGAGGAGAATAATACAATTTCTTACTAGGGAGTAGCTTGTGTCATCGATACCCCTGATGATTTATTTGGAAACATATTATCTAAAATACTGCTGAGGGGAGGAGAGGGAGTAATAAAGAGACAGAAATATCAAGTTTGCCTCCTCCATACATTCTAGAAAAAAAAAAAAAATAGTATTTCCGGCTCTGAATTAAGGCAAATATTTACATGAGCGATGTTTTTGAAATATCTTAATTACGAGGTTAACTGAGAGAAAAAAAATAGTATTCACTGAATCTTTACTATTCCAGGAAATAATTTCAAATTTTTTTTATTTTTTTTATATGATTTCACGCTTCGTACTCCGAAGTCAACAAACTTAACGCCAGTAGAAGGCACAATGCAAGGTCAATCAGCACTCACTGGAACATTCTATGAAAACATTAAGGATAACTCTAGAGCAGGACCAAATTCAAATCGAAAAGTAAGATATCCTTTGTAGTTAGGTGTATACATCCAATACAAAGTTGAATGATCAGTCTCATATAAAACGAGAATTTCACGGTACTAGAATTATCTGAATAAAAAAAACTTTATTATTTGGACTGTTCTGTACAAAAACTGTTTTAATATGTACTGACTTTTCGGTATAAGTCTTAAACTACATAGCTAATCAAAACATGATACAAGAATAAAATAAAAGAGAACAGCACACCTCTAACAATCTTCTTGAATTATTTCTAAGATCAACTAAGTCTCCGTTATAGAATGAACGAGTGATATTTTCAAATATAATTTTTTTTTCTTAAACCTTCTACGGTAAATTAATTATTAATAATGCCAATTACCTCTTAAGACATCGGCTGGGATGAGACGCCTGAAGGTTTTGGGCCTCTCAGCATCTTTGTCTTCAGCGGCCCAGACTGCGCAAACGAGGGCGACCGCACTAACAGCCACAATCCCGCGCATCTGAGGAAATAAATAAATATAAATAAATAATAAATAAATATATTAATTTGTTTATTGTATTAATATAAATCAACATAAATTATAAGTTATATTAGTTATATCAATTGATTATATAACTTATAACCTATAAGTTATATCTTATAATGTATTATAAGATACATACTTGGTGTGGCTATTAAATAACGAGATTGATGTTGTAAAAATTTTTACATTGCAAAAAATTACTGCAGATTGATTTCATATCTATTTAAATATTATTACTCCACTCCATGCGAATCTTACATAGTCTGAAATAATATTGATTATATAGTAATAATATTTATAAATAGTTTGATCTTCAAGAACCCAGTGAAGGTGCAGAATCCCATGAATATCGAGAAAAAAAAAATCATCAATGTGAATTTTGCTCATTCTAGCTTTTTTGGCTCTCAGTGAAGTTGGCTCTTGCAGTGCATGAATGGTGCTTCGTTTCAGGATCATAAGAAAAAAAAAAAAAAAAAACTGCATTAAAAGGGACATGATTTGAGACCGTTGAAGCTGTGAAAGAGAAAACAATAAGCGTCCTGGAGGACCTGACAGAAGAAGACTTCCACCCCTGTTTCAGATAATGGAAGATTCGCATGGATGATTATAAGGATAGAGGAGTGGTGTATATTAAAGGTGCATCATATAATAAGTAAATAAGTTTGAAATCAAAATAAAATATTTTACAGCATCGTTATTTAATAGCCACACCTTGTATACATCTGTCACAAAAACTCGTATCCATGACTACATAATCCACTCCTTATTTCTTATTTTGTCCCAAATAAAATCATCCACAAAACCTCGAAGTCCACATATTATGATTTTAGTCCAAAGTAGGTACTGCTCCAATTATGAACAAGACACCTTAACAAACCTACTAGTTTATGACTTTGTTTCTACAACTCAATTGTTCCAGAAGTCTGAAAAGAAGGTGGATTAAAGACCTTCTATTCAAAAACCAACATTGCAAAAAAAAAAAAAAAAAAACAAGAAGAATTTCTTTATAAGGATATGTTAATATGACAACATAGCTATCTTTTATATTCAATATGCATTTGTAATTTTTAAACATATCAGAGTATAATTTTTTTTTTGTGTAAGTGAAAACCAAAGACAAAATGGATAGATCGGATCAATAAAGATAATTGAAAAGCTATAGACCAAGGCAGAGATGAAGGGTGGTTAGGGCAACTAAAGTTCTAAAAGCTAAGGAAAACCAACAGAAAAAAATTTCCAAAATCCCCATTTAATTTTTTTTAAAATAATAATTTTTATAAACAAACGGCACATCAAATTTTAAAAACGAATTAAACCTTGAAAACATTTTATTTAATGTTGATGAGGATGGATTGAATGTTACGTGTGTATTGGTTAATACGACATTTATATAAAATATACAGCATAACAAATAATTGTGTGTTGTTTCGAGTTAAATAAATTTAAATCCTTCTAGATTAAGTTTCTTCTGTGTTGAGCCGCACAATTCAAGGTGGCTAAGATAAACCCGATACAGTTTTCACGCTTCTTCAAGACGTACATTCTTAGGCTTCGCTGGATTAAAAGAAAAAAGTGGAAAACATGCTGTTAAGTAATTTATCCCTTTTAGGCATAGAGGAGTTGCGAGTGTGAAAGGTGGTGGAACTCGAGAGTGAAACGAGGTCTTCCAGTTGGGGCGAAAAGAATTGCGCAATCGCGAAGGGTTGCGTTCTCGCTTACAAATTAGTTAGTTGCATTGGTTGTCCTATTCAACCTATATTACGCAGGATGCATTTATAGGTGCATCTATCCCTCCTCATTTTTTTTTATTAAATTACTTTGAATTAGATTTATCAAAAAAAAAAAAAAAAAACGAAGTATTTTCAATAATTCAAATCCTTAAAAAAATATTTTACATTTCTTCTCTTCATTTTTATTTTTATAATATAAACATTTTTTTTTAAAATCTTGAGATCATACATTATAGGATAGAGTCGCGACTTTGTATGTTGAGCGAAAAATTTTCCCATTAATTAAAGTACAAAAAACTTAAACACAAGTTCTTTCAAACTGATAAAATCAGGCGGTTGGAACACATTTCTGACTATTTTATTTCTGACTAGTATCTTACAATAATCGAACAGGTTAACTTTTTTATCCAAATCTCTAAAATTAAGGCCAGGTTTTTTTTTTGTTATTAGCATTGTGTTATTATATAATTTGTATAAAAAAGCTATAATATATTAAAACTAAATGTAAGTTTTTCGAATGAAATTAATTATTAATGAAGTAATTATGATTAATCTCTCTTAATAATAATAATTATTAAATCATAATTAAAAATTATGAATATTTATTGACACAAGTTTTCAAAATTAAATAATATATTACGAAATTTTTAAAAAAACAACAGTCTGTAATAAATTGAATTTATGCGTCTTTTTTTCTTTACAAGTTATGTGTGTGGCATTGAAGAATTCATGATTGTTGGATGGTGGGATAAAATAAAAGCATTGAAATTGTTAAAAGAGAATAATTACGTCACTTAAAAAAAAAAATCATCCATTGTTAAAGCGAATTCATAAATTATTTTTAATTTATTAACCCATGTTAATTATACTGTCACAATTTTCGTATAAAGAAGTTATCATCCTTTAGTCCATAAAGGCCAATATAAATAATAAAAAATAATTTTTTTTTACGATTTCAACTGTAACAGATTCCCCAGATTCAGAAAATTTAATACAAATATTTAAAGATTCTTATAACTAGTACTTTTTAAAGTATTATTATAGCAGTTACTTATTCCATAAAGTTATTTTATATATTATATTTTAAAAATTCATACTACTTTTTCGTTTATGTAATTTAAGCTTAACTTCAAATGCAGGCAACTGAATTTTAAAATATAAGTAACTTCTATATTAAACGAGCTTTTAAATGTTTTTATGTTCGTATTAGTTGTGGTTTTAATGTTCAGCGAAGCATCTATACTTATTTTTATTTTATATATGTACTTTTTATTTTTATTTTTTCTGTGTTTTGATAGTTTTTATTCCAAGTTTTCGAAGTTTCTATAAAAAATATTATTGTAGAGAAATTCCAAGTCAATTCGATGTTGAAACTGTTGGAGTCTGTGTCACTAGTGTGTCCTTCCTTTCATTTCTCTCATTGGTTTGACCGGTTTTTTCTCTTCTTTTTTTTCCCAACACATAATTGTCGGTGTTGGCATTCAACCAGTTTTTAATAACTGTTTTTACAATCGTTAAAGGGAGTAATTTATGGATTGCTTTTATAATATATAATATATTAAAAAAAAAAAAAAAAAAACGTGTGGTCAGAAAATGAAATGACCTTGTGTAGAAAGATTTTTGATTTTAATAATGTCCACGTCCACAATTCTTCTTGCTTATCTTCAACGAGTTCATATAATTTTTTTAAATTCCTGTTATTAATTTAAATAGAAATTTATATATTTATTAATATAATCTTTTTATATATTTAATAATTTTTTAGTTATCCTCTTCATCTAGTGAATGCTTGTAAAGTTGAAATAACATATTTACGACTGACCAACATAAACCCCTATTCTGAACAGCCATTGCAAGAGATTTCAAGCAACATTTTCACATTAATTTATAATTCTTAGCTGATATTACTTATTGATAATAAAAATTAAACATCTTTCTATTGGTCATCTTGGAATTATTCTTTGTTATAGTATTCACGTCTTATACTATATGTGATATATACTATATCACGATCAGACCAATAAAAAATATCCGATTTTCTCAATCAAGAAAACATAAAATCTTCAGAATTTTTTCCATTCTTTTCTCCATGATTCAACTTCACAATATTTGTGAATGTTATCCTATCTCACTATAACTAATGTCCAAGAGACAGATTGTTGTAATAAAAAAAAAAAAAATAATAAAAATTATAAATATAGTCTGGTGAAGCGTAGTTTAATCTTGATTGTAAATACAATTTATTATTTCCTTAATGGAACAACGATTACTAAAAGACTGTTAAAAAGCTAGATGAAACTTATTTTAAAAATGGAAAAAAAAAACCTTTATTTAAAATTATTTTTTATTTAAAATTTATTTATTACTATTTATTATTATATTTTATAAAAAAATATTGTAATAACAAAAATATTATATATTTATTATGTTTTATTCAAAATTTTAAAAATCCTTACTGGAAAGAAAAAAAAGTTATATACGGTTTCTAAAGATGAAAATTTCATCAATAAAACAGGTCAACCATGTACGAGTACGAATTGATTTTTTTCTGATGTTGAAAATGATTTGAACGGAATATAATTTACATGTTTAAATGTAAAGATAATATATTAGCATTTTATTGATTATAAACTTTAAATATTCGTAATTTTTTTAAATTTTATTAAAATTCTTTTATTGAATTATAAAATTATGTATTATACCTTTATTTAAATAAAATGTAAACTATTTTTGTTAATTTTTGGAATATAAATTTAGTATCCGGAGGTTTTGAATTAATTTATCATTGTTCTTGTTTATTTATTTTTTTTCTTTTTGTACGAAAATAAGATGTTTCTTCACCTAATACTGAAGTTCCACATTATATATATATATTTTACCTAATGTAATAAATAATAATAATTACAATAAATAGTTTATAGTGTAATATTACAAACATAATATGATACTAAACTTCTAAATAAGTCTATAGTATCAGTCATAAAAATAAGTCATGATAAAATCAACAAAAAAAATGAAAAAATAAAAATAAATAAAGAAAATAATAAAGTAGAAACAAACGTTGGGTTTTGTCACTGTTTTGACCTTATTGAATTAAATGGTTAATTTTAAAATTTACCATATATGGACCGTGTATTTACAACGCTGATGGATCTAATATTTTTTTCTTTGGTACTTGATAGATTAGAAGAAAAAAAAATGTCATCGTTAATATTGAATACTGTTGATTTTATCAAAGTCAGTTTTTATTAAAATGAATTATATCTAAAATATTTTTTTTTTTGTTTTCTTGAACAAAGATATTGTATATATGTAGTTCATACATTAGACGTTTTATTGACTTTTTTTTCTGATCTTGAAATTTATATTTTGTTGCTTATTATTGAATAAATAGTACATTGTCTTAAGTTTGTATGATGACAACTTACCTCTGCCTGAGATTTGAGTCAAGTGCCTGGTATCACAGAACTGGAGGGCCATCGAAGCACCGGTCCACTATATACCCTCAACCCCTACTCCGCGATGAACTCCCTTCTCCAGGAGTAATCCTTGTTCTTCGCGGCAGGATCAGCAATCTGTAAAGTACCTTAGTCCTCTTCTGCCCAGGATCTCTGCATCGTCTTTCCACCATATCTTTCATAATGATGAAGACTCATCAGTTCCTGAATTGAAACTATTACAGTCTGGCATTCTTGGCTGATAGGAGATGTAATTTCTATTCAATCTCTGCGCCCTGATAACAGTGGAAAATTTTAGGTCAACGTATAAACCGGTTTACTTTCCGTTGAATAGTTTGTTTTTTTTATTAAAAAACCTTCGGATAAGGAGAATGATGCGTAAAATGCTAAGCTTATTAAGGAAATAGAAGTAGATTTTACTTCCTCAAAACCCGAATAAGTTTATTGATTTTAGTCTAAAACAATAATTTGAATTTTTTATTCCTTAACACTCTTCAGGCGCTACTGACAATTTTTTTCCTCATAAAATTTAACATTGAACCCAAGACCCTTCCTAGGTTTTTGTAGTACAAATTTTTTTCCCTTGTAAAATTTAAATACTTTGTGGTTAGTTTGGAATCGAGAATAATTCTGGGATGAAGACATAAGTTACTTGATTTAGTAAAAATCATATACGATCGTTTCTGTTCTATGTACTTACCATGTATTCTGTATTATTTTACTAGTTTTTGGTTTATCCTTTGCTGAGGACCAATCAGGAGCGCCACAGGAGGATCTACGGAGGATGGGGACAGTCGGGCTGAAGCCCCCCCAAAAATGGTAAAATATAACCATGTTTTATGAAAAAATGATCTCTAAAAGTATCATTGTTCGTCTAATTACATTTAATAGGACTTAAAGAAACATTTAAACACCATTTTACGTAGGTAGTTAGTTTCTTTCTTTATTCAGAAATAATTATCCTAATATATACATACAAACCAAAATAATCTTTCGGGCTTCAGCCCCCCAAAATTAAACCCTGGATCCGTTAGTGAGGGTTTAGCATGGCACAATTTGCACTGTCACATACAGTAGGACAAATTTTTATGTGGTTATACATTTTTGAAGGGAATTATATTTGTAGGGATTTCATTTGGAGGAACTTTCAAACCAGGTAACAAGGGGGAAACATTAAACAAACCATAGCAAGTGCAATTGTAGGTATGCGATCTAAAATATTTCTAAATCTATTTTCGCTTGTCCTATTTATATTATGTATTTAATGAAGAGGATAGCAATGGGAAGAAATATAACTTTGTTTTCCTTTGCTTTGAAGAATATTCGTTAAACACATACAAGCAAGCGTTTCAATATATATTATTTAAATAAAAAAAAGTGAAATTTTAAAACAGAAAAAAAATTCTTATGACGTTATTGGAAGACAACAAAAACAAAAAATACAACGGTATGTGTTAAAATGTTGGAGTGATTTGCTTTCACTTGGTGGTGGATATCTTTGAGCTGTCGGTGTGAGATGCGGTATCATTCTGTATTTGTGCAATATTCCTCTTTTTATGTTCTGATGTTGCCTGGAATGACTAATCGGTCAGTTATTTATATATATTTTATTAAGTGTTCTAATGATATCTTGAATATTTTTTGGTGGCCTAGAACTTTAGTATATTCCGTCTAGATTCACTTCTGAATTCTTTTCACTACCCGGATAGTTTTTTAAAATAAAATAAAATCAGTTTTGTAGCTCAATTATTTTATTTATTATATGATTCGGACATGATCGATTCCACAGGTGTAGAATCTTTTTATCATTGCATGCCGCAGTAGGTTAGGGAGTGATAATGGAGACCGCAACAATTATTTATATTTTACATGTCACAATTAGTTATTGTTCTAGATTAATAAAAACCGTTCTTATAAATATCTCATACATACTAATAAATCAGTAAATTTATGTCAGAATTTTTCTTAATTTTTGATTTATATAAAAAAATCGATATTTCAGTCTTCCGTTTTATTTTTTTTTTAAATATGAATGCAATTATATTTATAGAAATTATAAAAAAAACAAAAAAAAAACAATCTGGTGTTCACTCACACGACTTTCCTACCTATTTCAGAAAAGTTTATATATCTTTAAATATGTCAATAGGGAAACGATTTATTGAATTAGATTTATTTTCTTCAAAATTGGTTAAAGAAAAGTTTGGAGTACGACTTCTTTGATAACCTAAAGCAATGTAAACCGGCTTGTGGAAGATCATTGTAAAAAATCCAATACACTCTAAGATTGCTATTCAAAAACTTTTTGCCATAGCCCAATCTTGCCAGACAATAATTTCTGTAAAAGTAGAGGAAATAATGAAAATTGTGTGATTCGGGCACCAGATTTTTTTGCTTTCATTTACATTCCTTTTTTTTTCTTTTTCTCCCTTTCTGGCACCGGGATTCGAACTCATAATCTTGTATACGAAATTGAATAGCTGTAATTTCATTAATAGTTGTCCGAAATAAACGATTTTTATATAGTTTTGTAGGGAAAATCATCACTATTCAAAAAACAAAAAAAAAAACTTAAAAGCCTCTGAAACGTAGAGATCCGTCGAAAACCGCACATCGGAAATTTGACCCGATCGCAATGCTTTCATTACCTGGTATTGGTATGGGTAGGAAAATAAAAATATACATACTTTAGACAGTATTTTTATATTGTATAATTGATATATTATTTAAAAAAATACTGAATAAAACCTTATAAAATTTACTTAAAAATCTGTAGTTTAGAAAAAATAAAACACACATTTCTAGTGGCGTACATTTGGAGATAGAAGCACTTAGCTAGAATTTATTGGAGATATTTTTATCAGCAGTAAATATTTGAAAAGGTTTAATGTATACATATATATATATATATATATATATATATATATATATATATATATATATATGTGGAGAAGAAGAAGAATATATTGTGTATGGATAAATAAAAATGTAATAAAAAAAAATACAACACGCTCTCGTCACAAATATTCACATAAAAAACTGTTGTATTTAGCCCACATATAGTTGATGTTAGAGTTATGCCAGAATTGGCCAAACGTCGACGAGTTAGTTTGTTTTCACTTGCATTTTAAAGACACAAGGTTGGGTCTCTCCAATTATAACCTAACATCTAATTTCTGTCTCTCATTGAGTCTCAGCACTCATTTATATTAATGAAACAAAGAACGTAAATGTGTGGGAACTAAATTGCACATATGAAGCTAACAGGAAATAACTATTTGAAAAGGTTTAATATATCACAACACACACACACATATATATATATATATATATATATATATGAGAGACAGAAATTAGATGTTAGGTTATAATTGGAGAGACCCAACCTTGTGTCTTTAAAATGCAAGTGAAAACAAACTAACTCGTCGACGTTTGGCCAATTCTGGCATAACTCTAACATCAACTATATGTGGGCTAAATACAACAGTTTTTTATGTGAATATTTGTGACGAGAGCGTGTTGTATTTTTTTTTATTACATTTTTATTTATCCATACACAATATATTCTTCTTCTTCTCCTTAATCCATCTTCTCTGCCTCAGCGAGGTTTTTATATACACTGAGCGTGCCGTAAGTAGAGAGAAATATTTAAAAGAGTGATAGTAAATATCAAGATCTGCAAGAAAGTTTATATAAATAATGGGTCGAATTCCAGCAGAAAAGTAGGAAATTCATGTTTGGTGTTGTTTTTTTTAAATGTCATGTTTGTTTTAGAATAGGTAGCTGTAACTGAAAAAATATTTAATTTAAGTAATTAACAATTGCATCGCTGTAAACTAGACAAAATTTACTTCAAATAGAAATGGAGTTTATCATTGTTATAATCATTTAAAGAGGGCTTTTGAGCTGCTTAACTAAGCTAAATTCTGTTTTTAAATAAATTATAAATTATTTAATGTTTTTTTTAATTATCTGGGCGAAAACTTGAGATTCACCTCGAATTGTGTAAGAAACTGGTGTGATTTTATAAGTGACGAAGTAACTGTTTCTAGTCCTAAAATTTACGTTTAAAATAAATAAACAAGGCGATTGCATAGATTATTTTCATGATAACGTAAATATTAGAATCACTTAAAAATACATTTTTAGTACCACTTTGGATGATGAATAATCGAAAAATCATAATTTTTATTTTTTTTGGAAATAAAAAGTTTGTTTATGCAGTTATATCTATTATGATACGACCCAGATCATGAAAAAAGATTAAATTAAAGATTTGTAAAAAATTATTGTACTGTAATAATTTTAACTATAAAACAAGAAATAACACCTATGAAGAAAATATTAAAGAAACATATAGCAATAAACTATAAATAACAATAGGCACTATCTTAGAAATCCATTTAAAACTAATATTAAAGGTTAAAATAGTAACGTTAATTTTAAAAATAATAAGGTCAATAGTGGGAAAAAATTAAATGAATATGAGATAAAACTGGTAATCCAACGAGTATATCACAGTGAAGATTTAAACTGTTAAATTAATTACTTGTTAATATGTTAATTATTAAAATGGTAAAAATGTTGTATATGAACTCAGAGAGCTGTGAAAAATACATAATTAAACGAAAAATAAATAAATGATTATTAAGTAACATGAAATATCTTGTCAATTAATTTATCTAATTTACTTGCAATATGATTCAAATGATAATTCAAATGATAATGATGATTTAGGAATAAATAATAATTATTTTTTTTATAATTTGGATATATTCTGTGTGCACTGTTACAGAATAAAATAATTATTTTGTACAAGTTTTATACTTTTCATTTTTGCTCAAAATACGGCTACTTTTAGATGAAAGTATATAAAATCAGACTATTTTCTTACAGAAATTGAACTTAATTAAAATTTAACCCTTATAAACCTTAGGCTGATTAATATAGACATAAAGCTTATTAAACGAGCCAGTTTTTCAAAAAGTGGGTTATCTGT